GTCAAAGGGCGCTCGCTAGCCTCGCTGCCGCTGCTCGCTCACCTCAACAATCGGTGCGCGGCCAAATAGCAAAAATATACCCCCCTAGGGAAAATAACTCGTTACAGGTTAATGAGACATAAGACTGCTTAAGGGTGTTACTCAACGTGTAATAAAAATTAAATTTAGAAAAAAAACAACAAATGTTACAGAGTGTAACAACAGCAAAAGACAACTTTGAAAAGACAAAAATCAACAATAGTAAAATAAATTAATTTACAACGTTAAATTTACAAGGAAAGAAAATCAATTTAAAATTTAGAAGAATGAGTTACTGACAAATTATATGACTAGTTTGTTTTACAAAACTTTAGTTAGATATTTTATTCTTTTTAAAACGTTTTTATCAGCTCGCTTTCTTGTCCGGTACAAATTTTGCAATCAATTTTATACTAACTTCCCGATGAGCTAGAGACTTGAAACTTGAAACATAGCTCACGAATGGAAGACAATGCAATATTATATCATTTAATTTTAATATTTCCCTTGGGCTACGCCCCACTGGCTTGTTTTTATTAACTCGCTTTCTTGAAAATTTTGATACTTCCCGATGAGCTAGAGACTTTAAACTTGAAACATAGCTCACAAATGGATAACAATACAATATTATATCATTTAATTTTCAAATTTCCCTTGGGCTACGCCCCATGGGCTTGTTTTTATTAGCTCACTTTCCTACAAATTTTGATATCAATTTTAAACAAAGTTTCCGATAAGCTAGAGACTTGAAATTTGAAACATAGCTCACAAGTCGATGACAATGCAATATTATAGCATTTAATTTTCATATTACCCTTGGGCTACGCCCCACTGGCTTCCAAATTTTTCATGTTTACATTTTGAAAGAATGTAAATATATCAATTAATTAAAGTCAGCTGTAAATACTTAAATTTGACAGTTCAAAAAGCAGAGGTTAAGAGGTACAGGTTTTGCTCCCAAGAGATTCTTTATACAAACAAACATTTCAAAATAAAGATAAACAATCTGATTGAAGATATAAAGGGGTTTGTTAATAATGTCATTTGTTATTTATTAAGTATTCTATAAAGTAAACAATAAATTAAATAGATTGATATATTTATAGTTAGTAGGTAGGCCATACATTCAATCTAATACATAATTATATGAAAAGAAACTCAAATAAACCTTAGATTTCCCACATGCCTCTGTCCTAATCTGATATAGATGCATGAAATAGATTTAACATCCACACACATTAAAAACTAAAAAGTAGAAAATAATTTACGTGGGGTGCATGCAATTGATAATAATACATTGGTTCAATAGGTGAACGTAATTGTAAATTATCTATTGCACGCACCCCACGTTTTTCGTTTTAAATCTTACAAGTATTTATACTCTCCACATATTTATAAATTATTTTCTACTTTTTAGTGCATTTAAAAACGTTTTGTTTTAAAAAAGGTTTTTTATTCATAAATTTTACATACTATTGTCCCAGAAGCACACGCATCGATACACACACTCCGAAACTCCTGATCTTCTTGGTCCCGTGTCCCGTGGTGATCTCTTCGATTTTTCCTTCAGGTCCTCCAGCTCCGAGACTCCTCACCCCTCCATCTTCTTCATTAGCCCTTCTCATTGGCTGATTACCGATAGGGTGTGTGGCTTATAGGTTAACGATGTTTCTTGGAAGTCAGCCCTGCCAGTCATCGCCTAGCTCACGTCAGCTGGGAAAGGAATTTGTAAATCGAAGCTCATGCTACCGTTCAACTCTGTTCACACCAACTGGTCGACTATAAGTGTAATGTCAACAGAGTGTCTGCATAGATGAGCACCGTGGGTACGGGGTTAATCCCCTTTCTTACAGTATCTAGGAGGTAGTTGAAGCAGTGTGGAGTGCAAAGGACCAGTCACCTGGTCGCACCGCATTGTTCTCCTCGTCACTCTTGATGTGAAGAATGCATTCAACTCCGCCAGGTCGAGCGATATGCTTTGGGCGCTTGAGCATACTTCCTGAGTTCCTCCCTACCTCTTGCAAATGATCAAGTCGTATCTCTCAAACTGTGTGTTGCTTTTTGATACCACCCACCACCAAAAGGTCAGCGTCGGATCCCTATCACTTCTAGGACTGCTCAAGGATCAGTTCTTGGACCCAATATTTGGAACATGTCTTACAACAGCCTGCCAAAACTCTAAATGCCCGAAGAACGCTAAATGCTTGTTGGTAGGGCCGTCCGAAGGGGGCGCTGCGCAGCGGCTATTTGTATTAGCATAGTATTAAAATTATGCGAATGCAACTATTACTGGTGGGGAGAGGGGGCGCCACGATCACGTTTGCTCCGGGCGCCGCCAACCCTAGGGACGGCCCTGCTTGTTGGCAACGCCAATGAGGTCGCTGCTCTGGTTGCAGGCAGAAACGTCGAAGAGGCAGAGCTAAAACTCAAGCGTAATGATGTTCTGAGGCAACGAGTGGATACAGGACCACTGTCTCCGAGCCTGCAGTCATGGTGATAGCCGGTGTCATCCCCGTCTACCCCCTTGCAAGAGAGCTACAGGCAATCTATCGCAGGAGACCTGAAGTAGGTAGAGAGACTGCTGCTAGAGAAGTACCCAACCGCAGTTTCAACCGATGGCAGCGCGAATGGGAGTCTAGGGGCTTTGGACCACCAGGCTCATTCTTATTCTTAACATCTGAACTGATCATGGGTGAGGTCGGGTATTTCGTGACCCTGTTTTTATCAGGTCACCACAGGTACTTCTGGGCCTATTTATTTTTGCACAGAATGGGGAAGGCCCCTAGCTCGGACTGTTTTGGCATTGCAGACACGGACGAGCACACATTCTTCTATTGCAACAGATGGCATGTCCGCCGAGTCGGTTTGATCTCTGAGATCAGTGTAGACATCACTCCCGACAACATTGTTGGAGCTATGCTCCAGGGAGAGGGCACCTAGAACTGAGTTAAGCAGTTCATTGACGCCATACTTTGGGCTAAGAAGGTCAATCTCTATTGGCCTTAGCCTTCGGAAGAAAATGAGGAGGAAAGCTCTAGTGGCATAGTAAAAAAGGCCTAGTGTCCTAGGAGATGGCAGGGGTTTTTCTAGCAGGCAGTTCGGGAACATTGAGCCCATGGGAGTCCGGCACTATACTGAAAAGACATTGAGTATCTGCTGAGTGTGCTTAGTGCGTAAACCCATTTTAACCACCTCCCCCCCCCAAAAAAAAAAAAAAACAAAAAGTGACACCTACGGTAATAGCTACTTCCCTATATGAAATTCGCTAAAAGGGGCTTTTGTTATAAGGAAGAAAGCAATCAATTGCAAACACATATTATCATTTGGTATGAAACTCAACCCTACCATTGATTTGAAACATTGAGTCTAGTCAAATTAGATATATATCAATGGGAATTAATTACCATTTGCAAAACAAAATAAATATAAACCTTCAAATTAAGGGGTTCTCTTAGGTTTAAGTTAGAAGTTTTTAAATTTTCATTTAATTTTTTATTTGGGAATTGTACCTTAGGTTCTCTTATAAATAACTAAAGATGATATCTTTTATAAAAAATTAACTTGAATAAATATAAAATATCCTTCCATAAGGATGTCTTGAATTTTTATTTTTTTATTTTTGGTTCTAACAGCCCAACTATTAAAACTTCTGTCAAAGATATGTCTACTATCCTTGAGTTACCATTTGATTTTTTAGGTTTATTTTTAATTTTACTAGGCTATAAAAACATCTATAAAATAAACTTATTAAAATGTTATTGGAAATTGTATTCAGTCCCCTTATTTAATTTAGCAAATATTATCACTGGATGAATTAAATACAACTATCCAGCGAATATGTGATATATTGATTATGTAATCAACAATAGATATGTTTGCTTCACATTCTTTGTTTGGACTTAAATCTCTGAACAAATCTCTTTTGTATGAATTACAAAGAGAATACTATAAACGGAGTTGATCAGATCAATGAATTCGATCAATGTCAACCATGGGCTTCCATCAATATTGGCAAGGTTATAAATAACTAGGCCCTATGAGAAAATACGTTAACCAAATTTGTTCCAATTTTTAAAATTATAGGTACAAAAAAATAAACTTACTTTACATAAGGCAAATTTAATTACAATAATTTGTAAAATCAACCATTTTGTACATGAATTTAAAATATTTTCTTGGGGGAGGAGCCCTGAGCCCCCTTTATTACTTGGTGTTATTCCTTACCCTCCAGTTTCCCCAGCCCCCCCTTCTATATGGAACAGTTAGATGGATGCCCATGGGGTCAACTACAGTAACTAACACCTTTTTAGGACCTCCAATAGTCAAGCTTAATAGACTCGTTGTAAAATATACTGTATTTAATAATTTATTGTACTCAACAATACATCAATTCGTTATATCTCAGTAGCCACGGGACGGGAACTTAGGATAGAAATAATAAATAACACGTATTGCAATATATTTTCCTGTCCTCATCTGTTATATTTTCATAAACCAAAAATAAAAATAAAATGCTTTTACTTCTGCTTCAACCTGTAATGTACTGTAGTACATTTATGCTTGTTTTACTAAATTACATCAAGGATAAAGTAAACACATTGCAAACCCCCCATTAAAACTGGATTTTTTTGCATATGCAGTGTAGTGTTTATCTTATGTTGGAGAATAAGTAAACAAAAACACAATTTCTAACATGAACTTTATCAAATAATTGAAATATTGATAAACAATATCAAAGAACAATATTAGAAGTTATAAAATTTGGTTGGAAAATTTAATTACAGCATTGGTCGTTTAATAAATTAAAATATTAATTAATAGCAATTAATTAGCTCCTTATGTATTTAATAAAGTAAATCCTCTATAATAAAGTAACTCCACAAAATTCACAAAAAAATCTAATTAGACACAAAAAAGTTCATTCAATTGTGTGATTTAGTTATTTACTGTCTCTTTATATGACAGTTTTTTCAAGTACATTATTAGCTGATGTCGAGGTCGTTGTCAGTTGTAGGCAGATCGCTGAACGCTGAGGAACTCCTGACATCTAGCGGCGATTCAGAGAACAAACTCATGTGCGGAGAAGGTGCGACCCCAACGTAGTACGGCGTGTTCGGCGCTAGGAGCGCTGCATACTGCGCTGGCGGGAAATACAAACTAGCCGTCGGTCGATGCGTCAATTTTAACCTCGAGGCCAGTTGTTTCTTCCACTTCGTGCGTCGATTTTGAAACCATGTTTTTATTTGAACCTCTGTCAGGTTTAGTGCTTTTGACAGTTCCATTCTTTTGCTCACGCTGAGGTATTTGTCTTCCTGAAACATCGTGTGAATAGACATTTAGGTTACTAAGATGACCCTAAGGGGGTTACACTGGAGGTCTGGGGGTCAACATACTTAAGGGCGGGGATTCAACTCCATAAACCCCTCCCTGGATACGCTCCTGCAAATGATTTATAGGGGACTATTGAAATAATAATAGTTTAGTATAAAATAAACAAATTTGCCAAATGTTATCACAAATTTATCCCTGAACAAGCAAACCACAACAATTTGTTTTTCCTCCATAAAAATAACATAAGAATTTTAAATTTAAAATTTTTTGGAATTTTCTCTGTAACCATTGCAAAAGTATTTGTTGTTGTTGATGCTTGACAGACTAGTTTTGAAATTGGAAATTGAAAGATTTTATGTTTTGGAGGTCGAAAATACAAAACCAATTTTTACCCTATAAAACCCCGATCCCATTGTCCGATCATGATGGTTCGCGAACTCGTACAAATAAATGTATGTTTACACGTTTGTACAGAATTTTTTTAACAATCGGATGATTTTTACTCAAGTTATTGTTACTTTTTAAGATACTGTGGACAAAAGAATGTTTGATAATTGCGTAACCAACAATACTATAATACCCTTGGTTGTTGAGTGTAGCGAGCGCCGAGCGAAGCTCTTTGGAATTAACTTCAATGCAAGTCACGCCTTCAATCAAGTCAAAATGCAATTAACTTTTTGCTGTTGATATTTACAAATTAGGTCTACAATTCAGTTTTATTATTCAATAGTCTTTTGCATGTTTTACAATTTTATTAAAGTCATATTAAAACGCCTTCTTGAAAACTTAAATACGTGTTCGTAGAACAAAACAAAACAACCTTATATTTTGGTATTCCTGTTTTCTGTAGACTACTTCATTGCCGATCAGCTGATATGCGTTGTTGCATCTAGATGTTGTTGCAAATAAGACACAAAATGGCGTCTCCCCAATCTCGAAAAGTTAGAATAAAAGGTTTAAAGTAAATCATTGGTTTTATACCAAGAAAGGTTTGGAATTTAGATTCCTGGTGAGATTCCAGTACCTGATAAATAAGCTATTATTGACGTACTGTATGCCGAAACTGAATCCGAATTTAAGGAACACTTGCATCTCTAGATTTAAGATTTAAGATTGAGGTACTGGAATCACTCCTGGAATCTTAATTTCAAACCTTTCTTGGCATGAAACCAATGGTTTACTTTAAACGCATTACTTTAACCCTATGAAATTTGGGAAACGGCATGTTTTGTCTTATTTACAATAATTTCCCAATAACACTAAACCTCATTGATAACTATGCAACAACTGATTGGCAATGAAGTTGAGAAAAATGGGTATCAAAATATAAGGTTGTTTTGTCATTAAAATGTGTCTCACAGTACTTTGAATTTGGGTTCCGCGTTAAAAAAACACAATGTACTTTAATACTCATTCTGCATGTAAATGGTTCAGAAATGATCCAATCATTTATATTAATAAAATGATATTACATCGAAATAAGTTTATTAATTTCTTTTCTTATAATCGCGTTTGTTCAGATCAACTGGCTTTCACTGCTCTGAAAGCAATCCTAGTTTTAATTAAGCAGCATTTATGTATCTTAAGATGGGGGTTTCTCTTTTATTTATGAACATGTTTTCTTAAATTTCGTATCGTTACAATTGTAATGAAATTTTATAAATAAGATGTCACTGCAGTAGTCTTATTTACCAATGTAGGTTTATGACATTTATTTCTTACAATTTTAAATGGCCGGCATTTTGAAACTTAATAAGATAAAAATAGTTTTCTTAAAATAGGCATTATTAGTCTATGTATCAAACATGAATTTCCTACAACAACCCGTTGACCAATAAGAATAATTTAGTGATAAATCTGATATTTTAGTTTATCTTTGGTCCAGAAATTATGTCTTAACAGGTCGGTAGAGTTCGAGGACAATCTGTAAAGAGTGTTAAACAATTAATTGTACAACTGGAAACAATCGTGTAAATTGAGTGTTGAGATTGTGTGATATAAATTTATCAAACCATGTATACATACACAATTCGATGTATTAGATGCATATGAATAAGTTAAATGGTTTGTATAAATTTCTAACGGTTTACCTTGAACTCTGTCTCTAGTCGATCCAACTGTTTAGCACTGTATGCCTGGCGAGGTTTGCGGTCCATTCCGGGCTTGCGGGAACGACGACCCACTGGCTTCGGCGCTAGACAAAGTATAGCACTGTGGTCAAGTGTCATGTTTACATTTTAATAAAACAGGAAATGTATTAAATTATGTTTAGGCTCTCAAGAGCTTGTTGTTCAGTGGACTAAAGTGACCCTTTATTAATACAACGTAATTTCCACTTCCACATGGGTTTTTATTGTTAGAGAAAAAAAAATAACTTTGGTCAGTTGTAAAACGTCCTGTTTTCCATCCACCCTAACAGTTTCGGCTGGTAATTTAACTACGAGATAAGTTTTTCACTAAACAATAACTGGAATTCAAGTACAAATTTGTTAATTCATTACTAACCACCCCCCCCCCCCTTATTAAAAATGCTGTTGTGGTGCACACGTTATTTCAAAATAACAAGCAGTGCCGACACTTTAAAATTCCCCCAAGTGGCGAAATGCCCTTCTCCCTTAAATGTATCTGGTCACTGAGATGAGGACCTACCTTGAAGGCCAAAGATGTGTGAAGCAGTTCTGGATACCCACCCGGAGTAGAGTAGAGATGAGTAGGGTAGAGGGTAGAGTGGCCCGGGGGGTAGGCCCGGTAAGGAGTCGCTGCCTGGAACATGAGTACAAGGATGAGTACATACAGAAGAGTGAGGTGAACAATTATACTGTATACTGTATTATCAAACAGTCATGCTATTCAACAATTTACATGCATATTGACGTGAATTCGAATGGCTTAAATATGTAAACTAATTAAGTTAATAAACTGAAAGAAAATGAAGACAATTATTTTGGTAGATTAAATTTCCCCACCTCGCCGCAGCAAATTGTCGATTTAATCCCCTAAATAACAATTTATTTACCGAGGACATAGGTTTGCTGCTATAGGGAAGAAAACCGTGTTTTTGGTAAATGAAATAAAATGAAGTGTAATAAAATGGAAAGTGAAATAAAGTGTAGAATGAAATAAATAAATTTATCAAACTATATCCATAGAGAAGTAAACTACAATAGTCAAGCTTTTCTCCATAAGAATAACATAAAAATGTACAGTTTTAAAATGTTCTCCATAACCTTTAATCCAACGTACCCTTTCACAACAACGCTTAAATATGCAGAATAATTTTTTTTAGCTCTACACAATGGTTTAAATGAAATTTGGGCATTTAAATATTTTAAGGGTAAAACTTAAAAACTCCAATTTTTTTAACATCCAAAACCCGACAACTTTCCAATGAGCTAATCTTGCTGGTTTGCGACCTCATTTAAGAGGATCCAACCCCACAAGTTCATACCAAATTTCATCAATATCGGATTGAAATTACTCGAGTCGTGGGGATTGTATAATACAAAAGTCAACAAATATTGTTTTGACCTTTGGGAACATCAAAATGAAAAAGTAAATTGGTCCAGGTTCTAGGTCTTGTTGTACCACCTACGGTAATAGCTTCTTCCCTGCTCAAATTCCTTATTTTTCTACATAATTAAATTTAACGTTAATTTATAATTAACTTTATAATAATATATAATCAATATCGAAGAATTAAACTGTTAAACCTAATCAACAACAATATCCACGACATAAAAGTTGATATTTCAATAATTACTTAAAGTTTCAAATATTAGGGTGATCTAAAGAATATATGCATTTTTTCGAGACCACGTAAAACAGCCTAGAGCCTGCAGTTGGATTTCCAAATGTTAATACATTTTTTGTCACTTGTTATTTAGCTTGTAGGCGTGTTGTTATTTGTTATATTTTTATGTTAAATTGTAATTGTAATTTAGTCTATTAGTAACAAAATTTGTATTGTTGTTTAGTTTATCAAATATTTGTTAAAGTCATTCACTTTGTCCTACGTTAGCCTTTCAAATATCGTTATTTTTGGTCTTAGCGAATTTACCTATAGGGAAGTAGCTACCGTAGGTGGCACGGTAAAACCTAGGCCCGGGACCGATATACTTTTTCATTTTGATCTCCACACATATATATGTCTGGGAACGCGATACCTTAAGTAATTTTTGTCTGATTTTGATGAATTTGGCCTTAAGGTGTAGGGCGTTATAAACTTGAATGAGTTCGCGAACCAGTCATGAGTTTCGACCATGAAAACATTATATTCCACAATTTCTCTCTAAACCATGTTGAAGAGCTTAAAAAGAAATAGTTTAGTATATTGAGGTGTTATCTTACGGTAATTGGTTATGAATAAGATTTAAACAAATAAATTTAAAATTCTTCTGTTATTCTTGTTTGCTTGTTTATGGATATATCTTGGTCAAACTTGGCAAATTTATTTATTTCATACTTAGCTATTAATATTTTACAAGAAACACATTTGATAACCCTCCCTGTGGTAGCAAACCTAGGTACTCGTTAAACCTAATGCAATTTAAATGGATCTAAGTGGAAATTTGATCAGGCAAATTTAAATTGGCTTAGTCTGCAGGTTTGCTGGGCGGGGGTATTTATACCTTGCATTATTTATAGTTACCATCAATAAGCTACTTTTTACTTTACGTGCTACTGCATATTACTCACATATTCTTGATATTTCTTGTATCTTTAGACCTCTTGAGTTTTTTTTACATTATTGATTTCTTATATGTGAAATGAAGATGTCCGTTGGGATTAAATAATAAACAATTTTAGAGGGAAAAAAAATTTCAAAGCATAACTCTTAAAATAGAAAATCAGTTGAGAAGAATTTTTAAATAAAAAAAAAATAGGCTAGGAATAAAGCATCAAGTTCTGAGTTTTTCAAATACCATAAGTTGCTTTGAGAAAACCCACCACAATAAAACGTTTCGTGATATGCACACATGCATATGATGGGAAACGTGAACCCTAAGAATGAAGTATACAACAATGAATTCTAAATGGTTTATAAAATATATAAACAATTTAAATCTGCTCAATTAAACTTGTCATTGTAATCTATTAAAATAAATAAAGGATTTGCATAGAGGTTCTGAAGAATTTCAACCTTTGTTCAGGTTTGTTAGGGTTTGCCGAAACTCTATGGAACAGTTCATATAATATTGTTCCTTAGATCGTGACAAACACAATTCACAATATAAACATGGTTCTTTAGAGACTAGTTTTCCGCCTGTTGGTCTGTATGTGTTTTTTGTTAATTATTTTATAACCGAGAATTTATTAAAAATATAAACAAATTTGAAGTAAATGTGTACCTTAATAGGTAGAATAAGTGTATACAAATTTTTTAATGTATCTAAATCGATTTGAAAATGGCTGCCGTTTAAAAGGAATTAATGTCAAATTCCATGAAAACCGTTACAGATGTTAAGCCTTTAAGGTAGGTAAAAATGAACTGTTTGAAGTCAAATTTAACGACAACCTATTAACTAAAATCGAATTATAAATAGCTAAGTAGTATTAATTTTTGCAAATCAATGAATGTAATTTCCATAATACAACAATACATACCTAACACTACAATAACATTACCTAACAATACTTGTTCCTATTATACTGTTATACATCGTATTATACACTATTTTTATTTCAGTATATTTTTGTATATTCTTCTATATGTAGCCATGATGCAACATGCTTCCTATTAAGTATTGGCATATTTGCCGTTGGAATGAAATAAATAAAATATACTACTGTACAGCATACTAATAACATGAAAAAACCGTTTTTCCCTGTACCAGCACACAAGTACTGGTTAAACCTACTGTCATTTCAATGGAGATTATACAGGGTGTCCCGGAACTCTCTACCAATATTTTAGGGCATTGCTCCTGGGTAAGAAACATAACTAAATATCATATTTAAACTGTCCGGAAGTCCTTAGTTACTCCCACAGCCGCCATTTAAATTTTTTCATTTATTATTTTTTTTCTAAAGAACGGTTGAACATACGAAATGGAAACTTTGCAAAAACATTTATGACAACTAGACAAAGCTACCAAAAAATTATCACGATTATTCAAGTTCATAAAACAAAATGGCGGCCATTTAAAATGTTTGTAAAATCAATGGTTTTTGAGTTAATTTAAGAAAGAAAATTTTAAATGGCTGCCATTTTGTTTTATGAGTTTGAAAAATCGTCATAATTTTTTTATAGCTTTGTCTAGTTGTCATAAATGTTTGTGCAAAGTTTCAATTTCGTATGTTTAACCGTTCTTTAGAAAAAAAATTAATAAATGAAAAAAACAAAATGGCGGCTGTGTGAGTAACTAAGGACTTCCGGACAATTTAAATATGATATTTAGGTACGTTTCTTACCCAGGATCAATGTCCTAAAATATTGGTAGAGAGTTCCGGGACACCCTGTATATAACACGTTTAATGAAATGTTTGAGTAAAAATCCAGTTGAAGAAATGGAAATTCGCTTAGTCTGCAGGTTTGCTGCGTCGGGGGGGCATTTAATCTAGCAAAATAGTTATCTTAAAATTCGGTTAAAGCTGAGCACAACCTACGATCGTTATTAACTTAGTCTGCAGGTTTGCTGTGGTGGGGTATTTTATATTTGGTTATTAGTCTGTAGTAATATAGAATGAAACCGTGACATTGGGTTGCTTTGTGAAGTATTCCCTATATTGTTAGTTCAACATACGGCCATCGCTAAATGTATGTCTAAAACAACAACATGGGTATTCACTTTTGCTACAAAGAATTTTTATATGTCTGCATGTCCTAAAATAATGTCTACATGCCTGACAATACATACTATTTACATACAAAATAAATTAGTTGAAACTAACCATAACAAGTTTGAATGCAATTTGTTAAACAGTTTCCTTGAAAACCCCATTTTGAGTTTGAAATTATTGATATTCATTGGGTTTATTTATGTTGTTTTAGGCTCGTATATAACAAATATTAATAATTGTATAATTACTATTGGTGTAAACGTGTTCAAAACCCCTTTTACAATGTTAAGGGGTTGCAAATTCAAAATTTTCATACATTTTGGTTACCTATGTACAGTAATTGCAAATACAGGAAATATTGATCATTTTAGTACGTGTCGATGTAAAATATATTTTCGTTAATTTTAAATACAATCAATTAATTTTAGAGTGGTTTGTTACTATGTATATTTATATTTTTTCTTATGTAAATAGAATATTCTATGTCACCCACTCGATAAACATATTTAAATAACCTAACATTTTTACTTGTACGTTATTAACAAAACCTATAGCCAATTATAATGAGCCAATTAAAAATAAAACTAAGTAATTGTGTTATTTTGTTTAAAAATGAGCTTAATGGATTATAATTAGATGAAGATCGTCTTTTTTCCTACGGGGAATGAAATTGTACAAATTTTACCTTAACTCTTGTTAACTAAAGCCATGTGACAATTGAACGTTAGCCATTTGGTGTTTTAATTTACAAATATTAAACAATCTGTTAGAGTTTTATCAAGGATTTGTACATTAATTATGTTAAGCTATTAATATTTAATATTTGTAGATTCGTTGTATAGTACGTGTATTTGAATTACTGACGAAAACTCGTTCCCCACGCACATGTACCGCTTA